AAAATTAGAAAAACAAATAGAAAAAAATTAGAAAACATTAAAAACATTTCTAAAAAATTAGAAAATATTTTGAGTTCAATTAGGCAAAGCACTGTGAACATAATAAAAGCCAAACTAATTAAGATTTTTTTTTTCTTCTTCTGGAGAAGAAGCAGTTTAATGGGTTTAAAAAGATTTCTGTACAAAAACTGCACAATGACTGGTATTTGCCTTCCCATGGTGACAATAGCTCTGGTTCTTGTTTTGTTCAGCAGCAACTCCCACAGGTCTCGTAACGAGGACTATCTCTTTGGCCAGTGGTGTCTGGAGCCCCTGCAAAAGACCATTACAGAAAGACTTTAGCTGTCACTCTGAATCTCTAAATTCACTCTTGAGATTAAAAAGCTATGATAGGTTACAACGATTCTATTAAGAAAGAGTCACGATGCAGAACCACCCTCCCACCAACACAATATCGCTCGTTTATGACTAAATAATTCACAAGAAATAAACTCAGCAAGCTACAAACGGCTTGTATTCAGAACACAAGTGCTCATGTTGGGCAAAACCATTCTCCTCCCAGGCTAGACCGCATTCTCCCCGCTCTAGCCATCTTTGTGGCCACAGAAAGCAACTCCCACAAATAAGAACTCAAGCTTTTACCTCAGGATTTCAAGCTTTACATGAGGAATTGCCCAAACGCTTTTTTTGTTGTTGTTGTTTTGGTAGTTGTAGCAAGTGTTACACTTGCTACAAGGTTTTACACAACCTCTTCACATTAAATGTGTGCTTAAGCTGCAAGGCAATAAAGGACAGTTGCTGTGCTCTGCCCCATGGCTCCAGGGGCCCCGAGCGAGAGCAGCAGCATGAAGAGGCCGCGAGGAGCCACCACGCACCTATCAGCTTTCCCCGCCAGGTAGGACATGCTTCGGTTTCCAGCCGACTGCTGAAGTTTGTTTGCTCCAGCAAATTTCTGCAGGAAGGAAAAACAAACACATTAACGAGGCTGCTGCCAAATACAATATATTCCAAGCGATATGAGTCCTGTCAGCTGCCTGCTCATTTACACGGTGAGCTGTGCGTTGCAGGATGCTCTTCATACACCCTTGAATGGAATGCACCTGAATGACAAATTCTGTTCTCACGGGCTAACTTAAAATATATCTTTTCTTCCACAATTTTCCACTGACAACCAGTCTTACCCATTCAGAGAGACCAGTTCAAAACTCTGCTCTCCCAGATACACTGTTAAGTTGCTTTCCTCTTTCGAGACTCCGAAAGGAGCTTTGAATTTGCTTTGGGAAACTTTTGCTGTTTTGTGGTGGTGCAAGTGATGCACCCATGACGTAGCGGTGTAGGCACAAACTATGAGTAAATAGGTGGGAAGTGGAGAGTCCGAGGGACCTGAGAAAGCCCATCCCAAATGGGAAGAGGCTGTAACGCAACAAATGAGCCTGTGATTACAAGTTGCCCCTCAGTCCCAAGTGCCTGTTAGGCTACACTCTGCAGATCCAGACAGTCCTGTTGTCCCCAGGTGGGCACGTTACCATCTTCATTTCTGTTCCTTGTTTCAGGATGCATCCTTACCTTGCCGGTGTAGGCCTGCTTGGCTGGGTCAAACTGGGGTGACTGCTTTGATTTGCTGCTTCCTAAGGGCAAGAAGAGAGAAACTGTCACCAAAAAAACCCCAGAAAGAACAGTCTGTTCAGTGGCATTCCTCTGGTGATCAGGAAGGTTTCACTGTATCTCCCATGCTGAAAACAAGAACCGCCCCTAAAGGGCAGAAAAAACTTTGAACAGATGCTTATTACACAGGAGCCAACTCTCCTTTGCTTCCTAACTCCTTGTATCCAGGTAAATAAACGACTTTCTTCTGCAAAGAGCCAGACAATATATCTATAAAGTAACCCCTTCCAAGCTGTTTCAGGATTTTGTTTCTAACTCAGAAAAGGGAAGATAAGCTGCCCATTCGCCAGGG